GATATAACCTAGGGTTCTAATTATTTTTAAATCAACAAGAACACAATTCATCTTCTAATATCAAGATTCGGTAGGAATATCATATAAACATCAAGAACATCATATAATCATCAAGAACACCAAGAACACCAAGAACACCCTATAATCATCAAGAACCTCTAATCATCAAGATTACCCATGGAATCATAACACCAATTATCAAGATCATTATAACGAATCATCAACACACAAGAATATGGGGGGGGGGGCTGAAATCCTAAGAGGGGAATCATAGCTATGAAAATAGGTTTTGTTGAGACATGGGTTACCTTTTGGCCTTAATTAATTCCTTGGCTATGAAGGGTCTTTCTTGAAGCTTTCTTCTTTCTTGAGTTCTCCTAGGGGAATTCTTGGAAATTCTTGTGTGGTGAGGGATTATTGTGGTGGGGGGTTCTAGGTGCCTCTTAAGTCCCCTATTTATATATTTAGGAGTCCTAATTAGGAACTAATATTATAGGCTTGCTAATTCTATTCCTTTTAGGGCTAGGGGTTGGGTTTTAGGAGTGAGGGCCCACGGACCATGGTGGACCTTTTCCCTAATTAATTATTGTAATTTAATTCTTTCTTTGGATAATTGGTTAAATGATTAATTGGTTTTAGGGGTCGTAACGCGGGGTGTTATACCCACGGGTAGGCCCCTACCCGTGGTTCCGCCCGCGGGTACACTACCCACAAGCCTTTGCACCTGCGGGTGGGCGGCGGGTAGGGCTCTCCCCGCCGTTCCGCCCGCGGGTACATACTCTTGGGCAAAATAATTCCTTCGGGGATTTTTTTTTATCCAACACAAATTCAAGTCCAATACATGCCAAAAGTCACAAAACACAACAAAATGACTTGAACCATGGAAAATGCCAAGCAATGGCACAAAGGAACCCTAAACACAAGCTCTAGATATGCAATATCACAAGACAAATGCATAAACTCTCACATTTCATAGCAAAACACATGTAGAATCCAAGAAATCACATATAGGTAAGCAAAATAGGTTTTGTAGAGCATGTGTTACCTCTTGTAGACCAAAAGACTTCACTTTACACCACAACAAGCTCCCCACAAGGCTTACTTTCCAAACCCACTTCAAGATTAAACCAAAAGATCATAAAGATCCTACCTTTAAGAAAAAGACAACTAAGATGGAACCAAAAACACAAGATAAACTTAGATCTTACCCTCCTAGATGCCCAAATAGGTGAAAGGTTGAATCTTGGAAGCAAATCTTGGAATCTTGACAAGGGTCTCAACTTGGCTTGGAGAATAAGCTACACTTCTTTTCTAGAGAGAAGGTAGAACTAATTTCTAAGAATTGTAGGGAATGAAATGAAGAAGTCTTCTAGGTTAGGTTACAATACTAACTCTTGGTGAAAAGACAAGAATACCCTTACTAACCCTTAGAAAGTGTAAGGAACAAGGGAACTCCCCTCAAAGCACAAGGTACAACACAACTTAAAGGTTGACTAGTCAAATACTAGTCCTTGAGTATTAAAATCAGGATTTTAGGAATTAATTCCTCAAATAAAATAGGATTAATTACTCAATTAATCCATGGATTGAATGTGGATTTTTGGGGTGTTACATCCTCTCCTCCTTCAAAGAAGCTTCGTCCCCGAAGCTTGGGTATGACGAATTAAAAGCAAACGGTGAAAGGAAACGACATTGTGACAAGAAGTTCAAGAACAACTCTTTTGGTCATAGACTCCAAAAGAACTCACAAGGATTCCAAAGCAAAGAAAAAGGCATTTCAAATTTCAAGGATTGGCAAGAGGTCAACAAACGGATAGATTGAGCATCAAGAACTCTAGCCTCAACACAACCACCAACTTCTAGACCACAACTAAGAACTAGACTACTAACTCCCAACACCAACTTTCAAGCTAGCTAAACAACAAGGCAGCAAGCAAAAACAAGCAAGCACACAAGGCAAGCAACAAACGAGGAAAACGAGGTACCTTCTGCAAACAACTCAGGGTACCGCTCCCGCATTGATGACTCCAGCTCCCAAGTAGCTTCCTCAAACCCCATGATGTGTCTACCAAACCTTCACCATCTTAACAGATTTCCTACGAGTGTCCCGAGTCTTGAAGTCCAAAATTCTGAGCGACCTTTCTTCGTAAGACAAATCTTCATCTATCGGTATTACTTCTGGTGGTAGAACATGAGCCGGGTCGTGAACATATTTCTTGAGCTGTGATACGTGGAACACGTTATGCACCCTTTCCAACTCCATAGGCAAAGCCAAACGGTAAGCCAAACTTCCAATCCTCTCCAGGACTTCATACGGGCCTATAAACCTAGGGCTCAACTTCCCTTTCTTTCCAAACCGCATTACTCCCCGGGTGGGAGATACTTTCAACCAAACCTTATCCCCAACCGAGAACTCCACTTGTCTTCTAGCCAAATCAACATAAGACTTTTGACGATTCTGAGCCGACTTCATCCTTTCCTGAATTTGTTTAACTTTCTCGGATGTGTCAAGCAAATACTGAGGTCCCAGCACTATCGGATTGACAAGATCCTCCCAACATAGTGGGCTGCGACACTTCTGTCCATAGAGAGCTTCATAGGGTGCCATGCGAATGCTCGAATGATAGCTATTGTTGTAAGAAAACTCGATGAAATCCAAATGGTCCTCCCAAGGCCCTTGAAAATCTAGCATACAAGCTCTCAACATATCTTCGATAGTCTGGATAGTCCTTTCTGTTTGCCCATCAGTGGCTGGGTGGAAAGCAGTACTGAGACTTAGCTTAGTTCCAAGAGCTGCTTGCAAGGATTTCCAAAATTGAGATAAGAACCTTGGATCCCTATCGGAGACAATATCCCTCGGAACTCCATGATACTTTATCACTTGGTTGACATAAGCATGAGCCAACTGTGTCATTGTCCAGGTCTCCTTCATTGCGATAAGGCGGGCAGTTTTAGTTAAACGATCAACTATCACCCAGATTTTGTCCTTACCCGAATGGGTTGTCGGCAGACCTCCCACGAAATCCATAGATATAAAATCCCACTTTCCTTGTGGAACTTCTAATGGTTGTACCAACCCCTTTACCTTACAACGTTCCGCTTTTCCCTTCTGACAGTTAAGGCATTTCCTAACAAACTCTGCAACTTCCTTCTTCATATTAGGCCACCAGAAGAAGCCCTTCACGTCTTTGTATAACTTGTCTCCTCCGGGGTGGACCGAATAGGGTGTGTTATGACCCTCTTCCAAAATCTGTCGCTTCCACTGATCACATGACGCGGGTATGCATAAACGGCCTTTGTACCTCAACACCCCATCCGTAGATAACTCAAACGGTCCCCCTTTCCCTTTAGCTAGGTCATCCCTTACCTTTGTCAAATATGCATCCTTTTGCTGCTCTTCCTTAATTTCTCCCAGAAATGTAGGTACAATCCTTAAGTTATAGCAACGAACTTCTGTCTCCACATCTCCCTGTTCCACCACTTCCAAGTTCATCCGTTGGAGCTCCTTACAAAGCTCATCCGCCACTACCCAAATAGAACTAGCAGTATGCTTCGATTTTCGACTTAAGGCGTCCGCCACTACGTTAGCTTTTCCTTCGTGATACTGAATATCTAACTCGTAGTCCTTGATGAGCTCCAATCACCTTCGTTGTCGCATATTGAGATCCTTTTGGGTGAAGATATATTTGAGACTCTTGTGATCCGTGAAGATCTTGCAACGCACCCCATATAGATAATGCCTTCAAATTTTCAAAGCAAACACTACGGCGGCCAATTCCAAATCATGTGTAGAGTAATTCTCTTCGTGAACTTTCAACTGACGCGAGGCGTAGGCAATCACTCTCCCATTTTGCATCAACACACAACCTAGTCCTTTCTTGGACGCATCACTGTATACCTCAAACCCTTCCGTTCCTGATGGCAATATTAAGACCGGTGCAGTCGTGAGCCTCTCTTTCAAATCTCAAAATGCTAACTCACAAGCTTGATCCCAAACGAAAGGCACTTCTTTCCTTAGCAGCTTAGTCAAAGGTTGAGCCACCTTGGCGAAATCCAAAACAAACCTTCGATAATAACCCGCTAAACCAAGAAAACTTCTTACTTCCGCCACCGATGAAGGTACAGTCCAATCTTTCACTGCCCGTATCTTGTCCGGATCCACAGAAATCCCCCTACTATCAATCACGTGGCCTAGAAATGTCACACTGTCTTTCCAAAACTCGCACTTAGAGAGCTTGGCGTATAACTGCTTCTCCCTCAAGATCTGAAGTACCGTCCGAAAATGTCCAACATGCTCCCTCTTATCCTTCGAATAGACCAAAATATCGTCGATGAACACGATCACAAAATCATCGAGGTGGGGTTTGAACACTCTGTTCATCAAGTCCATAAAAACTGCAGGGGCATTAGTCAACCCAAACGGCATAACTGTAAACTCGTAGTGACCGTACCGAGTCCGAAACACAGTCTTAGGAATGTCCTTGTCTGCTACCTTTATCTGATGGTACCCTGACCTCAAGTCAACTTTGGAAAATACTCCTGCGCCGCGGAGTTGGTCAAACAAGTCGTCGATCCTTGGGAGGGGGTATTTGTTCTTGATGGTAACTTGGTTCAGCTCCCGGTAGTCGATACACAACCTCATACTTCTGTCCTTCTTCTTTACAAACAAAACCGGAGCTCCCCATGGCGATGTACTTGGCCGGATATAACCCTTATCAAGGAGTTCTTGCAATTGGATCTTCAATTCTTGCATTTCTGGCGTAGCCAAATGATATAGGGCCTTAGAGATGGGTGCTGTGCCTGGCAAAAGGTCCACTAAGAACTCCACTTCTCTAGTAGGAGGCATACCCGGTATTTCCTCGGGAAATACATCAAGAAATTCACGGACTACGGGTATAGATTGAGCCACTCCCCCCTTTGCCTTCAAGTTCTCGACCGAACATAAGTATAACTCATTGCCTTTATCCATATACCTCTTCATCTTTGTCATAGACACCAGCTTAATCCCGGGTTCTTCCATCTTTCCCACTGGGTCCCCGTAGCACCACCTTCTGATCTTTGCACAAGATTTGGGCCCTAAACCGCCCCAACCAGTCCATACCTAAGACCACATCCATCCCGTCCAAGTCGTACTGGATTAGATCGCTAGGGAACTCTTCTCCCTGGATGTTGATCTTGATGCCCTCAAAAAGACGGTCACACATCCTAACTTCTCCCGATGCTACCGTCACGTTAAACCTCACTCCCGTGCCCCTAGATAAGCCCAACTTCTTCACGAGGCCGGGTGATACGAACGAGTTAGACGCTCCTGAATCAAACAAGACTGTTGCTGGCACGGACTGCACTAGGAAGGTCCCCACTACTACGTCACTGTCACTTGTTCGAACTTCACTTAAGGTAAGCACCCTCTCTTGGGATGGCCCTTCCGCTGGATGGTGAACCTCTATCCTCCCATGCCCTCTTACATCTCGGAATGCTGGAAAAGGTAGCTGCACTAGGACTTACTCTTGTGGACGTACCACTCCGGATCCATCGTTCAATCACCCCAGAAGCATTACTAGATCCGGCCAACCGAGATTTCTTAACCACTTCACCCACATCTTCAAACGTTGAGGTTCGCTGGCGAGGAGGCATCACAGACTTCTGCCACAACAATGAGGTTACCAAAAAGAGCAAACAAGCAAGACAGAAAGCAACACACAGCTCACCGCGCAACCTAGAGTCCTAAGCCTAACACTTAGCTTCTTAAGGTCGCTTAGAGGTCTCAAAACACACTTAACCACTTAGAAAGTCTAGACTTAACTCTTCCTAGGCTCATACCTAGGCTCTGATACCAACTGTAACATCCCCCAAACAAGACCTATATAAAAGCCTTAACACATGCAGATTAAACGACAAAACTAACACAGCGGAAGATAAATCGAAACTGGATAAAAGAAATCCAACGGGGTGTCACGCCACATCTACCAAACACGGTAAACGCTACGGCAAACAATCTGCAAGTGTATACATCTATCCCAAAACATCAGTCTAACTACATTGGCGCACAGGCCACAAAAGCAAGGATAAAGGTGCTAAGCTACCAGGCTCTAGACATCGCGCTCATCTAAACATCACCTGAAAGATACAAAGATAAACATTGGGACGACGCCCGGTCAGTGAATAATGCTGGTAACCCACCAATACAATTAAGTATCATATATAGATAGATATAAGTCATAAAAACCATTTTCGAAACGGAATACATATATATAAGTCAAAACCAAGATCAACAGTCAACACAAGACACATCACTCTCAAAGATAACACAGGAACACATCCCAAACCACAAGGGTTAACCACACGCAAAGGATAAAGACTCACCCAACGGCAACACATGCCAAAGCAACACAAGCCTCCGTGACTACACACGTCACGAGAGAAGATCACACAACGCCGGCTTTACGAGCCCTCGCAACATCACCCATCACGAGTTGGTATGCCTTCCTTATGCCCTGTTCCAACCTTATGGCTACCCCCAACCTTGTACCTTCTTTCCAACCATTACCTCCAGGACCCCTGTACTTCTTAGTCCAACCTTATTCCCCCGGGACCGTCGTCCCCCACCAACGACCACCAACGAAACCACCAATTCACGGCAACACATGCCCGGATAACACATGTTATCCCCCAAAAACGTGGACCCATCACTCAGGCCACAACTCCATAATCACGTCACGGCCACCACGAGGACCGCTGCAATACCTTGGTGACTAGTGTCCCATACCACTAATCGTGCAATCCAGGTTGAGCTACACACGCACCACAACTCAACAAGAGTCAAACAACGGATTACAACGAAGGTATGAAACATACTCAATCAAGGAACGGGTCACAGCCCAACAACAACAATGATGAATAACACAAGTTATCATCAACCAAATGGAAGGTACAAACCACACACACGCTAGCATTAAGACAATAAACTAGCATGCTTAACAATGGAGAAACTCAAGATAGTTCCGAGGAACTCACAAGACACCTCTTGGTCCAACGAAACACAATGTTGAACACTTAGCACGATTCAAGACACCAAAGTCCTACATGGATACCTACCGTATGGTTCTAGACGTACAAAACATCAAGAAGACGCGTAAATAGTTCCGCAAAAGAACAACGGGAAGTCAAAAGACCAAATACCGAGTCAAACGGATCACGGGGAACAAATCCCGAACGAACACCACAGTGTTCCCTGCGGATGGACCCACGGGTAGGCCCCTACCCGTGGTTCCGCCCGCGGGTACACTACAACTCAATTAATCCATGGATTGAATGTGGATTTTTGGGGTGTCACACTGCGGTCCACTGTTTGGTTGAACATGAGCTGCGGTTCATTCTCCTGGCTGAGGTCAGTGATTCACTTCTTGGGCTACAGTCCATGGGCCTCGTGTGCGGATGGTCCACCGACTGGACGCGCCAGCGGTGTGTAGGGCCACCAGCCTGAGGAAGGCTATAGCCCACCGACCGAGTGATCGGTGGTGTATAGGGCTATGGTCGGCTGCGACCCACTGACTGAGGGCCAGCGGTGTGTAGGGTCGTAGTCTCCGAGGATCATCGCCCACCGACTAAGATCCTCAGCGGTGTGTAGGGCTTTCGCCCACTGACTAAGGTTCTCAGCGGTGTGTAGGGCTTGATTCACTACGATCCACCGACTATGCTCATCAGCGGTGTGTAGGGTCGTAGTCCCCGTAAGAGGATCATAGTCCACCGACTGAGCGCGTCAGCGGTGTGTAGGGCTGTGATCCACCGTCAAGCTATTGGCGGTCTGTACGGTTGGTTGCGATCAACCCCCCTAATGCTGCGGTATGAGGTAGGGTGCTACGGGGCCATGTTAGCGCTATACGCACTAACCCGCATGTTCGGGGCATGTGACTGGTCCCGTTGCGCCACCAAAGTGTGCTTATGTGATTTGAATGATGATTTGAATGATGACTTGAATGACGAATAAATGATGATTGAATGATGATGTGGACGACTTGAAAGTAAACTGTGACCTTAGATACATGTTCTTTATGATGCTGTCTTTATATAACTGTTTATCTTGATTGAATGTGCTTACCCCTATTTGCTGAGTCTATTCCTGATTTTAAAAGCTAGAGATCCCTAAGTGTATCTCTTCCTGCTTCAAAATGATTTTCGTATATCTATATATATCTACCTATATTGTATTTCAACGCGTTGGAGTGGGTTACCAGCATCATTCGCTAAACAGATATTTTTGGCTTTCAGGCACAGATGAGTAGACACCGGAGCGCGCTAGAGATCCGGAGCGTAGACTAGTTAGTTTCCCTTTCGGCCTGCGTGCCATGATTATGTACTGACATTGCTTTGGGGTTTTTAGTTAGTTTAGCCTGTGCATCTGAGCATTCCACCTCAGGTGTGGCATAGCACCCCGTACTCTTATGTTAATTTTGGGATTTAATGAGAATTCGCCTTTATTATATAAGCTTTAAAAAGTTTCAAAATTTCGGGGTGTTACAGTTGGTATCAGAGCCTAAGTTTGACCCTAGGAATAAGACTCGAAAGACCAGATCTTTAGAACATTAGGCTTAAACACTAGGAGTTCAGTAGGATAGGACTTAGGAATCATAGGACGCGCGGTGAGAAACGCGAAACCCCTAAACTTTTCCCTCACACGAATCCACATCTAATTTAAAAAAGAACTCCCCCTCCGCTTATCGCATCAAGGGAAGGGTAGAACACTCTGACTCAACACTTACTGTTAACATTTGGCTCTATAGATCAGCATCATGACACCAAGCAGAAGGCCGTCAAGGACTTCGAAACCTGCCACACACAACCCCCTGGCCCAGACCTTGCAACAACTAACCCAGGTCGCCCAAACACTAAGTGACGTAGCTCTCTGCAACAACAGGCCACAACCACCTCCACCAAACGCAAACTCAGAGGTCGCCCGACAAGTTTCAAATCATCGACCACCCATCTTCTCGGGAGATGAAGATCCTGCCACCCTTGAGGAATGGATTCGAACCTTCGACAAAATTCTGGGGTTAGTAGAATGCCCAGAAGAGCGTCGTGTAGAGATAGCATCGTTCTACTTTGGACACGAGGCGGACCTCTGGTGGATCCACGAGGGACCCACTTACAGGCAGGAACCAGGATTCAACTGGGAAAGCCTAAAACACGGTTGCGAGAAAGATTCTACCCAGCATACATAAGGGCATCCATGCACGAAGAATTCCTCCACCTAAAGCAAGGAACAACTACCGTCATGGAATACCATAAACGATTCCTCGAACTAGCACGCTTCGCACCAGAGTTGGTCCCCACAGAGGCAACCAAGATAGAACGATTTGTATAAGGTCTCAACTTCGAAGCCCGAAAAGATCTAGTGATAAGCGGACCCCGGACCCTCAACAAGGCTTACTCCAGTGCCGCCAACCTCTACCGAATCCAACTACTACAACGAGGGGTTCAGGAGCAAATACGTAAAAGAAACACGGGAGGTGGGGCACCTCCTATGAAGAGACTACGGAACGAAGTTAACACCAGGACAAGCAATCCGGCCGCCTAAAGGCCGCCCCAGGGAAACAACGAAACTAGTACAAGGTGTAACACCCCGTGTTATAGCCCATAAACCAATTAATTAATTACCCAGAAAGAAAGATTAAAATCTCATTAACTAGGAAAAGCCCACCATAAGCCCATGAACCCTTATCCCTAAAGCCAACCCCTTAGTCCTATAAGGAATAGGATTAGTGAACCCATGCCACTTAGACCATAATTAGGACTCTTAATTATATAAATAGGGACATAGAAGGCACCTAGAACTCACACCACAAATAATCCCTCACCATACAAGAAAGTTCCAAGAACTCCCTTAGGAGAAATCAAGAAAAGAGGAATCTTAAAGAAAGACCCTTCATAGCCAAGGAAACTAATTAAGGCTAAGAGGTAACCCATGTCTCAACAAAACCTATTTTCTTCGCTATAATCTCCTTCCTTGGCCTCCCTCTATATTCTTGTGTCTTGATTGAATTCTTCTATGATAATTATGTTATGTTCTTGATGATTGATAAGATGATTTATATGCTTTCTTGATAATCTTGATAGTCTTAAGGTTGAGAAGAAGTTCTTGATTATGATGTGATGATTCTTGACGAATCTTGATATTTTCTTGATGTTAAAGATTAAACATGTTCTTGATGATTTGGGTGGGATTAGAGCCCTAGGTTGGATTGGGAATTTGTATTATGATGTCCTCGATTTGTATTTGGGAGGGAATTCGCATGTTCGCCCGCTGCCCGAAACAGCGCACACCGGCGGGCAGCCGGCGGGTGACCCCCACCCACCGGCTACCCGCTGGTTCACACCCCTCCCCGGGTCCCCGGCTTCCCCGTTTGATGTTCCCCGTTCCCCATGGTGTCCCAACAGGCCCCGTTTGTCGTGCCTGAGTCTAGTTTGGAAATTCGGGTACCGTTCGTAGATTAAACGAGTCTTAGGAATTGCATGCTAGTTGAATTGGTAACCAGTGGAACAAGGTGGAAGTTATATGTGCCTTTAGGAACTATTCTTAGTGCGTGAATGATCACATGTAAGCTTAATTATATGTTCCCCCTTCCCTATGTGAATTA